GTTTTCCTCTTCTTTCCCACCTCAATTATTGTTCCTTCCCAAATTATTCAAGGACAGAACCCCTGGGCTTATGACGAAGATAAAAAACAGACTTCCGAGGCTGCCTTCAAAGCCTCGTCTTGCCCTCCCCACCCAGCTCCACACAGGAGTCTCCACCTCCTTACCATCACACAAGAGCCCATAGCCCCTTGCCCTCTCCAGGCCCAGCAGCTCCACGCACTGCCTCAACCTCTCTCCTCTCTTCCCAAGCTGACCCACCCCTTCCTGCAGAAGCAGATCAGAGCTCTCTCCACCAGCGAGCCTCTCCTGGGTGCCACTGCCCACACAAGCACCGCCTTCTTCAGGGTCCCGTGGCACAAGTCTCTGGCACCTTTCACTCTAGCCCCCGATTGGGTCGTGCCTGTGTGTGATTACTCAGCTCTCTGAGTCAGTCTCTTGGCCCAAACAGCAAGGGAGTCAATCTCCCTCTCTCCAGCCTCCCCTCACTGCCCTCTGCAGGGCTGGGCCGAGCAGTCACTCCAGAAAGATTTTAATTGGAGGTCTGGTCTCTGTTAGGGGAGCCCCATGCAGACGGAAGTTGTTTTCAGCTGGTTCCTCAACAAAACCTTAAGAACAAGATACCTCTTGTGCTCCTAGCCCTAGGGCCAGGCCATCACCCAGCTCTCTGGCCATCTACCCCCTTCGGCACCCTGCCTTCACAAGGACCCCTTTTTCCTCAAGGCTGCTACCCCCATCACAGATCACCACACACAGTTTGGATTGTCTTCTGTTTTCTTGCATGTGAATGTGGAACTCCTTGGGCCTAGAAGATACTTATCCATCTGTTGCCATTCGCTGTTCTGGGGCTTTTCACTGGGTATGACTTTGGTCTCTCTAAAAAGACAGCCAGATTCTTCCCAGGTCTGTCCTTTCTCTGCTGCTTCCAGTGCGAGAGTGGAAGGGCTAGATCAACACAAGAATGACTGAGTGGTGGTGCTTCTAAGGCAAGCTGCTGTGTCTGTTCTGAACTACTTGTTCTCATCCTGGGCTCGGAACTTCTGGGACAGAGTCTGCCTGGGGCCCTGCAGCTCGCCATTCTTAGAGTCTATTTGAATGAATACAGCATTGCCCCCCAAAGTCAGATTAGCCATTGGTGTCTAGAAACTCCAACCTGAGCACCTACTGTGTGCCTTTGCCTGTCAAGGGGGGCTGCCGAGAAGAGGCGGGGCCAGATGACTTGGTTCCTGCCCTCCACCAGTTCTCAATCTAGATGGAGAGAAGATTCACAGTCAGGAGAGCCAGTGCCAGTCTAAGAGTATGTGGCCATGGCCAAGGCTGTGGAATGTGGTTCAGTGTGTGCCAGAAGGAGGGGAATAATGGTGGCCAAACTGGAGGGAAGCTGAGCACAAGAGGGCCTCCTCCCTCCTTGAGGAAGAGGGGGAGCAAAGGAAGTGAAGAGCAGGGGGCAATGGAGAGGTCTGCACACGGACACCACCTGAACCAAGATCCCCACCACACGGGGCCCCTTACATCCCCAAAGATGAATCAGCAACAAAGTGTAAACCCCGAATGAAGAGAGCAAATGAGAAGCAACTGTTCCCAGCTCCCCCTTCCATTTGCCAGCCTTCTCCCTCTCAGTGGATGGAACAATTGTGGCCATGAAGTGGCACTTGGAGAAAAAGTTTTAAATCTGTTTAAATGTCACAGTGAGTAATACTTTGCCCCCATCTTCCCCTAATTACATTTCTCTTTGATGATTTAAGGTTAAAAAACAAAATTAACTCAAGTCTTTCTAGACTATCAAGGGCAAGGAGACCAAAGCACCAGCCTAACCATGTTCCTTACTCTTTTCTCAGGGGTCCTACTCCTTTATGGCATTATTCTGAGACACCTGTCTGTCTCAGAATTTTTATCCCTAACACTATGCTGTGGCAGAGAGGTGGGAGCCGAACAGATCCCGCTCTGCGCCTTTTAGAGATCATGCCTTGGCAGAAGTTGCTTCTGTCCCAGGAAGCTGGGGGGAGGTGGGGTATCTCACCACACACCTTCCAGAGAGCTGAAAGTTGAGGAATGTGCTACCCCTTAAGGGGAGACAGCCCAGATCCAAAATCAGCCACTCTCAGGTGGGAGAGAGGGGAGAGTGAGGAATCTTCCCTACGGACGAAGGGGCTCTCCATAACTTCAGGTCCAGGGTCCAGACGTGGAGGGAGAGAGGGAGGGGGCCTTGGTGCAGGAGGGGAGGAGGTGCAGCCCTGGAGGGAGTTGGAGCTATACCGCATGGAGGAGTCTCTGCGGGTGTCTGAAATAACCAGATGCCCCCTTTCAGTAACAACTCGACTCTCCCACTCACTCCTGCCCAGGGGTTGCTTTTATTTATGTATTGGCAATTATTATTATTAACTAAACACCTGTGAATAATTTACCTGAACCTGGGGGGAAGGAGTTGAGGTGAGGTCAGAAAGAAGTGGATGTGAACCTCAGCCCCCTCCCCTGTGCAGGTCCCTCTTTTCCCAGCCCCCCTCAGCTCACTTTCTTTACTTCCCCTTGTCCTCACTTCACTTTGTGGGGAGGAGGAGGCAGGGAGAAGAAGAGACCTCAAGGAGGAATTACTCTCCTAAACTCCCCTGTTAAGGCAGAAAGTACATTCCACTCCTTTGTGAGATTCTGGGAGTTAAGTGTCCGTGCCACAGGATGACGTTGGAAGAGATGTTTTGAACAAAGTTATTGGCCTCTGCTGTCCTGTGGGAAAGGGGAAGAGGGGGTCTAAAGCCGAGTGGGTGTACATACACACAGACACAGACACACACACACACACACACACACACACAGGCAGAGTGTGGATATAAACAGGGTCTAGGTACACATCCACAATGCATCCGCGCAAGCACCCACAATCCTGACGAGACATATGCACACACCTCCCAGCCACCAGCTCAAACCGTCTGTGTGCCTACCAGGGACATGCTGCCTTATTACAGCACTTCACAGGCACACCAAGCCTACAGCCACATGGCAAAGAAGCTCTGTGTGTGAGTTTCAGTTCCATTCCTCCAACTTGGGTTTTTCTTAGACCATCAGATAACACTGGATAACGGAAGCCCTGAACCGAGTTATGAATCAACTATACTTACACAGGATTCCATCGAGCAAAGGCAGGAGTATCTTAAAATGAAAGGATGAAGTTCCACATATCTCAGAACTGTACTTGCTGTTTGGTTTGGACCCTGGATCCTCGGGGAGAGGTGACCCGGGTGCGCTCGGGGCCTGGGGCAGCGGAACCTCGGGGCCTCCTTGGGCCTCCTCCCGGCGCTGGAGAGCTCGGCGTTGTGGCTGTACCAAAGGAGCTTGGTCTCAGGTTTCAGGCAGCTAGGGTCTCATTTCTTTAAATAAAATTTTAAACATGATGTTGTCTAGTAACATCACGTAACCCGAGGGCAAGAAAAGAGAAACCCAAAACACCGGAAAGGGGCCGGTGGCGACCAGGACAGGGTCAAGCCAGCAGCTTTGCCCTGCAACCCGCGAGGGAGCAGGCGTGTTATTTTAATTTGCCCGGAAACCGAGAAGAGGCTGCCCTAGAAACGCAAATGTGGGAGAGCAGGGGTGCAGGTAAATATCATTAAAAGGGGAATCTATCTACTCTCCCAAGCCAAGTTCACCACCAGCGTTCGCCCCCAGAGGCGGGGCTGCTTGAACCCGGTTCCCGCGCCAGCCACTCCCTCTCCCGCGCAGCCGACGTTCTGGCCCCGGTGGGCCTGATGGGGAACCTTACGGAGTCTGGGCTGGGCGGCCGGGACCCTTTGCTCTCGCCCGCAGACGTGACTCCCAGCCTCGCACTTTCGGAGCGGGAGGTGCTGCAAACGAAGCCCGAGGGGGCAAAGCACGCAGTAGGAGTCTGGGTCCGGCCGCAGCCCGGAGAGCGATTTGGGGGTTTTATTTCTTTGATGGTGAATTTAGAAAAAAAAAAATTTTTTTTTTTTTTCAATTTGAACCAGTAAAGCAGACAAGGGCAAAAGCAAGCCAGTCCCTCGTGCTGGCTCACCGGCCACCGCGCCCAGAACCTGCCTGCTTCCCAGCCGGGCGAGCGGGCCGAGGCGCCCGGCTCCTACCTTCCTCCCGCCAGCCGCCTGCCGGTCCAGCCGCCGCGCTTTGGGGCGGGGAGGCCGTCCGGGACGGAATACCCACCTCCAGCCTTCGCGGGCGGGCTGGGACGAGGGTCGGGCCCCGACTCTCTACGCCCCGTGCCCCCAGCGCTGCCCAACCGCTCCCCAGACCCGTCCTCCCCAGGTAGCTCGGGTGGCGGTAGATGCCGTGCGGGAGGGCGAAGATTTGGGGCTGCTCTGGCAGGTTGGGGATGCGAGGAGGGAAAAAGCAGAGAAAGACAGTGAGAGCGCGCGCGCGAGAGAGCTCTTGTCTACAGATTTATCCACATAACATATATTTATGTAGCATTTTTTTCTCTCGACACTGATCAATGCGCACTCGGATCGCTGGGCGGACTTCCTCCAAGCCGGCTCGCTTTTTCAAGTCTAAATAAAGGGAACCAGATGGGAGAAAAAAAGCGCCCATTCCACCTTCGCCGCCGCCCCGCCCGCCGTCCCTGCCTTTGCTTCGCCCGCCTGGCGCTCTAATAGAGCGCAGCTCAGGGGATAACGCCCCCCTACATACCCACACGAAAATGAAAATCAATGTTTTTTTAAAAAAACAAAAAGTTGCACCTGCTGCTATTACAAAAAGAACCCCCGAAAGGCAAAGAGGAAGCCAGCAGCCCCGTTCCTAACTGGCACCCGCTCCCCGCGGCCGCCGGGCCCGGAATCTCAGCGCCTCCCGAAGAGCCATGCGCCTGGCGCTATTTATAGCCGGGGGCCGTCTCGGACTGTACCACCGCTGCTCGCCGGGGCCGCCGACAGGGGAGGCGCGGCGGGGCCGGCGCCGCCCCACGCCACCCTGCTCCAGGCCGCCGCCCGCCGCTGCGCTGAGCCCCCCCGCCTTAATCTCGCCCTCCCGGCCCCGCGCCCCCCTCTTCCGCGCGCGCACACTCGCCGCCCCCACCCCTGGTCTGACTGGGAACTTGAACCGGTCCAGCCTGTTTAAACGCAAAGGACAGAGATCCTGTCTGTTCAATGTAAAAAAAAAAAAAAAAAAAAAGAAAAAAAAAGAAAAAAAAATCTGATCAGACCGAAAGAGAGAGAGAGAGAGAGAGAGAGAGAGGGAGAGAGGGAGAGAGAGAGAAGAGAGGGAGGGAGAGAGAGGGGGGAGAGGAGAGAGAGCGCGAGCGCGAGCGAGCGAGAGAAGAGAGGAGAAAGAGAGAGAGCAGAGAGCGAGAGGAGAGCGAGGTGTAGAGAAACCGAGGGGGAGAGAACCCGAGTGTGTGTATGCGTGTGCGTGTGTGAGCGCGAGCGAGCTTGCGAGGGAGAGGAGCGAGAGAGTGCGAGCAAGAAAGAATAAAAGGAAAGAAGATTTTCTCTATGTATATAAAGATGGCCACGTTAGCAAACGGACAGGCTGACAACGCGAGCCTCAGTACCAACGGGCTCGGCAGCAGCCCGGGCAGCGCCGGGCATATGAACGGATTAAGCCACAGCCCGGGGAACCCGTCGACCATTCCCATGAAGGACCACGATGCCATCAAGCTGTTCATTGGGCAGATCCCCCGCAACCTGGATGAGAAGGACCTCAAGCCCCTCTTCGAGGAGTTCGGCAAGATCTACGAGCTTACGGTTCTGAAGGACAGGTTCACAGGCATGCACAAAGGTGAGTGCACCTTTCGCTCCCAACTTTGCCGGGGAGAAAGAGCGGGCGGGCGGGCCGATCGGCCAGCGACGAACGAGCGAGCGGGAGACGGCGCGAGAGGGAGCCTCGGGCGGACGCCGAGGAGGGAGGCGCTCCGGCAGCAGAGACCGGGACTGGGGTGCGTGGGGAGCTGTTCGCCGGGGCAAGGCTGGGTTTTGGGCAAAAAGCTGATAGACGCGGTTTCGTGGGGAGAGAAGCGGCAGCAGAAGAAGAGGAGAAAGAGAGAGAGGATCGAGGGGAAACGGGGCTTGGATTTTTGGGTACAGCGACTTGAAAGACTGGGATGGGGACGTCTGCACCGGCCGAGCCCGGGACGCTGAGCAGACTGGCGGGCTCTCAGCCGGCCGGGGACCAAGGGTGCTGTCCATCGCCGTGGTGCTGAAATACTAAGCGGAGGTGGTTTTCTCCTTCTCCGCTCCGGGCCAGAGTAGCAGGAGCGCAGCCGTCTAAAAAGAAGAGAGGTGACAGATTCAAAGATACATTTTTTATTTCGCTATCAATTTAACAGTAAACTCTCCGTGTCGAGCTGTGTGCCTGAATAATCCGGTTGTGGTGCGAGTGGCGGAGGAGGGGTTGGGGGGGTTAGTTGTTTGAAGGAAAGGGGGACAAAACCTAAGGTAAGAATTAGCAAAGAACCAGCCATCCCCTGGGTGGAGTGAGGGGGTCAGGGAAGCCTGGATGATCCCCTCCTCCAGAAAGCAGGGCTTCGAGAAAAAAATCTGTGTGTGAAAGATATGCATTTTGGAGGGTGTATCATAAATTATCCCAAACTCACCATGCAGAGAGGTTTATAGTACATCGTTTCTTTCCCTTGAAGCAATCATTACTAGTGAGTGCTTGGAGGAGGGGGAAACAGAATGATCAAAGAATTAAAACCCAGCAACTTTTTAGGAAAGTGGTCATGGGAATTGTCTGCAGCCTGCCTGTTTTCTCCTTGTTTTATTATCTTTAAGGCAGAGCCCCAAACGTGTTCAGTTGTAGAACGTGTGTGGGTGGCTGGTGGGTGACGAAATTAGCCCAGTGCTTGCTCCCTAACAGTAATGTATAGGATGTGCAGCGGGAATTAATCGGGGCTGGAGCTGTGTAGGCAAGTTAAATGCTTTCTGAGAGAGATTGATCGTCAGGCAGAGAAGGAGCATTGGGCTAAGGAAGTTGTAAGGGATGTGTATGGACGTTCCGTTTTTAATAAACAGTAGTGTGGAGAGCTGCTGAAGATGCTGTGTTAGAGCTGGTGGTTTAAAAGATGAAAACACACACACGCACATGCACACCTACCCACACACAGAGGGCAGCCTCATCCTTGGCCACAAATGGGCTATGAACAGAGCTGATCCTCCGGCACATTAGGTGCAGAGCGCGGAGCTGTCTGGTTCTCTAAGCAGCAGTGGTTTTCACTATCACAGCCTCCCTCCTTCTTCAGCCCTCCCTTCATCCGAATACTAAGCAGAGCTCCGAACTCTTCATAGTTGGAGTCCCAGAGAGCAGTTTTTATTGGCTTTAGCATCTTCCAGCTTGCCTGCTGAGGAGTAAATCTTAAAGTTAATGGCATGTTGAGTAGCACAAAAACATAGTAGAATGGAAATATACTGGGTTTGCTGGGGTGGGGTGAGGGTGGGAGCTGTAATGGAGAGAGAAACCAACCTTTATTCAATATGGAGAAAATGTCTGTTCAGAAGAGAAACTGGAAAGGTGGAATGGGGAGGCAGTCTTCGAAATAATATCAGTTTCCCCCTTTTTCACCCTCCTTCTCAAGTCAACCATATCTCTGTAGTTTTTCCCTTTCCAATCAAGCTCCCTAGAAGCTAATCAAGGTTTGTATTAAACCTTTGTCATTTTAATATGTCCCCAGATTTTAAAATAGCAATAATGAAAATTAAGAAGCAGAGGTAGAGAAATACTTTGCCCATCTTAATGATAGGTTCTTGTGGGGATTTGAGATTTTAAAGTTTAAAAAAATCAGTATCCACTAGAGACAAAAAGACAGTTGTGAAGAACTGAGCTTCCTATGAGATCTGGGTTGGAGCACTTTATTTGCTTCTTTATTCCAAATGAAGATAATCTTAAACAATATTCCTCGGTTTCTTCTCACGATCGCTTGCTAGTATCATCACTCTGTTTCTGATGTTTTGGGGGCTCCCTTTTACTATAGCAAAGATGTAGAATTATCATCATCTGCATCAGCGAGGTAGAGAAGGTTAAGATATAGTCGCATCGTATGTATCATACCATATATATGCATACACATATCTGGCGAGGATTCCTATGACAAGCAAAACTTCATTTTCTAAATAATTCCTCCTCTAAACTGGCTCAGTCAGGGGCAGGCAGGCCCGTTGGCTCTGGAATGCTGGGTGCTTCATTGTCAAAGCTCACCCTTCAGAGCCTGAGCATATTTTTTTTTCCTATGAAACTTCCTGCCTCTCCATCCCTCAGATTTTTATAGGCAAGGTTGGCCCACAATGTCCCTAACAGTGCTTGGAAGCTCTGAGAGAGCTGAATAAATGAGACAGTTTCTGAGGCCTGGTTTATTCATTCCTAGAAGAGTTTGAACTCCTCCTTCAGTGATACCGCCTGATTTATTAGCTAATCCTGATAAAATAAGCTTCCGGCCACCTTAAAAAATTACTTGCTTGCCATTGGTGATTAATTACTGTTTAGTCAAAAGCATGATGAGGCTTGAAGAATGAGGGTTGCATTTGACTTCTAGATTTCCCCCAAGTCTAAATTATAACATGAGGCTAGGGATAGAAACGTGCCTTTGTTAAGCCTGGTTTCAGGGTATATTTGTGGCTTTTTCTTTCCCCTTCTTGAATTTCTAACTTCTAATGAATCATACTGGGATAAAATTGAGAGACATGACAGGATACTGGCCTTCAGTGTGGATGGAATACATATGCTACTGGTTAAAAAAAGAAGAAAAAAAATAAGTAAAAATTAAATTAAGTACATGAGATTTCAGGTGGGTATCCATTTGTTGGCCACCTGCCATTTCTGGTAACTAAAGAAGGAAACAGTTCTAAGGGTTAATGGAATACCTGCCATGCGTAGAGTGAACCTTAAAAGGCAATTACTCCAGTCAAATTGGGAGTCTGGAGGAGGGAGTAGGTGTGTGTTGTGGAGAAAACCCGGCCGTATCGGAGAAAGGCTGTTGGGCTGGGGAGGCAGCAAATAGCAGTTGTGGACTGGCGTGATTACCGTAAAGGTAAATTCACCCCCTGGAGAACAGAAGGCAAATGGGTAGGGGGAGATCTGGGCGCTAGGCAGAGAGAGAAAGAAAGGAAAAAGCCCAGAACAATTTGAAGAAACAACACCTAAGGAAGAAAACCCAGTTTAATGCAAACTCTCCCGGCTAACTCAGAGTCTCCTTTTCTCCCCCATTAGAAGCACTTCGAGAAAGATTGTTTTTCCAGGCTCCAAAGAGAAAGACATTAGGCTATTGATTAAAGAAGAGAGAGGCAAACTCCCAGGGTATCAGCAGAAGTGAACTGAGGACGAATTTTGCCCCTTCTTATAGAATTTTTCTCCTTTGGAGAAGGAAACAGGTCATCCACTAGTCTAATTCTTCCCTTCTATCACTTTTTATTTATTTATATTTTATTCCTTGTATTTCCTGAAAAACAAAGGCAGTGACTGAAAATACGTACACACACACACACACACACACACACACACACACACGACTGCTAACACACACACACATACACAGTTAGTGGATCACACATGAACAAGCCAAAATCCATTCATAACTTTGGTCTTATCTAGCAGGATAGGAGGCAGCAAAGACTGAGTTACTGGGAGACATAAAGACTAGTGCTCTCTGGATAGCCATATTATAATGCATTATCTTTAAAGTCATTTAAGTCCAATTTAAGTGGTATTTAGTATAATATTTATGAATTAATGTGATCTAAGCATAGGGCTGTCCCCAAAGGTTTAAACAGCCTTTACTACTGATATGTGCTTGTTCCCGGAGCCTGCGATGCATTTTAATCTAAACAGCTAAGTCCTCATCACAGTCCCTCTTGTTAACCAGTCAGAACAGATCTGTGGCCTGGATAACCACTCTGCATTGAGATTTTCCCCTGCTGCATGGAGGAAAATCTACTCTAGTGGCAGCCCAGGGGCTCCCAACCCAGGAGCCACAGCTTCAGGGATGTCGGGCCCTCATAATTTCATACTACATCCAGAGGGAGGGTGGGGACAGAGTAATGGAACCTTCTGTGCTTTGAGCTCTGGAGAGTATATCATTTAGAAATATACTCATCGTCAGATGCACAACCTCTCATTTCCATGGTATCTGAGTAGTAAATTCCTCAAGCCCCTTGATTTGGGGTACAGCTGGGAGAAGGCGAAAGGGCAAGGGTTATGATTATGTTCGGGTGATTTGTGACCATCTTCATAAAATTATGTCTGGTATTTTTGTGTAAGAGGTAACAATTCTCAAAACATCGAGTTTCTGCCACTTGACTTCAGCTGAAAGAGCTCATTGGGTTTTTTTGTTGTTTTGCCTTTTTTTTTTTTTTTCCTGAGATAGGTGAATTAAAGCTAGTGAGGTTCTATCTGATTTCTGTTTTCAAATGAGTCTAAGAGACAGGGAAGCCGAAGTATCAGCATGGGCATCAGCTCAAGTAAGATGAACCTTTAAAAACTACTCGGAAAAATAAAAATTCAGTTCTGTCCAGGGAAAAACACTAGCAGAATGGCTGGACACACACCTACAGCTTTTAAAAGAAAGATTTGCCTTGTGAGACAGAGATGTGGAAAATGAGATAGCTGTAATAAGAAGAAAAACATTTAAAAATAAGTTTCACTAAAGAAAATTAGCAATAGTAATTGTTGCAAAGTTAAAATAAACCTAAACAACTGCCCCCATTAAAAAAAAAAAAAAAAACCCTCCAAATTCCAGACGTTGATAAGTATCCTATCTAGGAGCAAAGAAAAAAACTATTGGGAATTGATTA